AGGCGGGTCTCGAACCCGCGGGCTCAGGCAATCCACTCACCCTCAGCCTCCCAAAGGCGCCAGATTACAGGCTGAGTCACTAAGCCTGGCTCCACCACACTCTTAAACACCACATACACGCATGCAAGCAGTCACCCAAACAGCCACATTTTCACGACACACAGTCATACACACCACAAACATGCTCAATCACACTCTCATGCCACACACATACATACCACACACACACCACACATACAGCCATACATTCACACTATACCCAGTCATACACTCATATACCAAAATACAGATGAAGATACAGACATAGGTACACAAACCACACTCTCCCCACCTCCAACACTAAACACGTACGGTAGCCAGCACAGGGTCTGATTTATGCAAACATCAGTAAATAATTACTAAATGCATAGACTCCTTTGTCCTTCCAAGGACAGGGAAGGAGAGAAAGAAAAAAGTACTTCTGATTTAGACGAGTATGTAGCATTTCCTCTGGGCCTTGAAGAAATAATGACATTTCAAAAGGCAGAATGAATTGGTGGAAATGCTGTCCAGAGTAACATGAAAAACAGATAAGGGCGGGAAGCACAAACTATGATAGGGCACTGATGAGAAAAAATGAAAAAACCAATAATTTCTTCTGATCAGCAAGTACTTCTGGGAAAAAGCAACATAGAATAAAGGAAAGGGCACTGACTACATTTAGTGTTGGATCACAATGGTGACACACAGTATCTTTATTACTCTGCAAATTATTCAACCACTCTGAACCTCAACTCCCTCATCACTAAGATTGTGATGCCCATCTACACTATACTGCAGGGCTCTGTATTAGAGGAAATGCCTATAATACTTAGTAGAGTGTGTGACATGTGCTGTCTTTCAGCAAATGACATTTGTTATTACAACTGTTGAAGACACTATATCCTAGTCCTGTGAAGAATATAAAAATGCACAAGATCCTTTAAATGATTTTGTTAGGAAAGAAAAAAATGTTTTAATTAAAAAACATAGAAATAGAGACAGAACTTCAACTCTTTAAGGAGCAAAGTTTGGCCAACATTTCCCGTAAATGGCCAATAATAATTATTTAGTAAATATTTGGCAGGGCTCAGTGGCTCAGCCTGAAATCCCTCGCTTTGGGAGGCCGAGGTGAGTGAATTGCCTGAGCCCGTGGGTTTGAGACCTGCCTGGGCAACTTGGTGAGACCTCATCTCTACAATAAATCAAAAATATTAGCCAGGCGTGGTAGCGTGCGCCTGTGGTTCCAGCTACTTGGAAGGCTGAGGCGGAAGGATCGCTGGAGCCCAGCAGGTCAAGGCTGCGGTGGCCGGGAGTGGCCACTGCACTCCAGTCTGGGCAACTGAGTGAGACTCCAACTCAAAAAAAAAAAAAAAAAATTTAAGGCAATAGGATTTCTATTGTAACTATTCAACTCTGCTACTGTATTATGAAAGCAGCCATAGACAAGATGTGAAGGAAGTAATATGGCTGTGTTTCAATAAAACTTTATTTAAAACAAGAAGTGAGGTACAGTTTACTAATCAAGTTAGTGATTCTTGAAAAACTTAGAGGAACAATATGAAAATAATAAGCTTGCTTCACTTTCAAAAATACAGGTAAATAGGAGAAACTCTAATGCTCAGGAACTATTTATTCCTTGATACTTCAATTCCTTGTTCCCTGACGATCCTTTTAAAAATTATAACCCCTCCCATACTCCCAGTCCCCCAGCCCCAAACTACATCTCACCTGACATTTATTTATGTCTATTATTTATTGTCAGCTTCCACCTACTAAAACATAAGTTCCTTGAGGGTTGGAATCTTTGTTTTGTTTCATTCACTAATGCAATCCAAATTCCTAGAGCAGTGGCAGGCATATATGGTAGATCCTTAATAAGTATTTGTTAGCCGAGCTCGGTGGCTCAGCCTGTAATCCCAGCACTTTGGGAGGCTGAGGTGAGTGGATTGCCTGAGCCCGCGGGTTTAAGACCTGCCTGGGCAACTTGGCGAGACCTCATCTCTCAATAAATCAAAAAAATTAGCCAGGCGTGGTAGTGCGTGCCTATAGTTCCAGCTACTTGGAAGGCTGTGGTAGAAGGATCACTGGAGCCCAGCGGGTTGAGGCTGCGGTGGCCAGGAGCAGCCACTGCACTCCAGTCTGGGCGATGGAATGAGATTCCAACTCAAAAAAAAAAAAGTATTTGTTGAGTGAGTTGAATGAAGGAAGGCCAGACCTGTCTCCAGAACCCATTTCATGCTTACTTGTGTCTATTCTCACCCCACTGTTGCTCAGCAGTCTCCTGATTACTCCCACTTTCTCCTTTTTGCACCCAGAGTCTTCTGCTTGCTTTTATAATGAATTGCAATTACATGTCTGTTTCCACGAGTGTTTTATAAGCAACTTTAGAAAAGAGACTGGGTCATTTTAATAATCTTTTGCAGCACAAGCCTGGGTGCTCAAATGTGTTTTGAATGAATGAGTGAAGGGATGTGATCTTTCACTCCACCCTTCTTCCCAGCCCTGCCCACCCCACCTAGGGCTCCACTATCTCTCTCTATGCAAGGAGTTACAAGGCCCCACTCACTTCCAAAATTGCTGTTCCGTAATTTACCAAGCTTTAGCTCTATCGGGGACTGAATGCTGAGTCAGTATAAGAGAAAAATGATGTAGGATTATGATCACCATCCTCAGTTTATGATACAACATAGTGAAAAAGACCATGGACTCCAGAAACATACATTGTGGAAGGTTAAGTTCTGGGGAACTGGGGCAGGGACTGAGCCTTAGTCACTGTTATACCCATTCCTCAGTGCGTGGCACAGCACCTGACACATTATACAGAAACCAATAATAGTTCATGTTTTTTTAAGCTCATACCAAGGGCTAGCACCTGGACTAAGCACCATATATGAATCATCTCATTTCACTTCATTTCATCCTTATTTTAGAGATAAGAAAACTGAGGCTTAGGGAAATCAAGTAATTTGCCCAAGGGCACACAGCTAGTAAATGTCACAACTGGGGAGTCTGTTTACCACTCCCAAGCCAGTGCTTTGAATCAATACACTAGCACTGAAGGGAAAACAGGAGGAATGGAAGGAAAGAAATAAAAACAGTGCCACGGAGTTCAGATGACAGGCATATCTTCCTGACAAGATCAGGGATGAGCAGCTTCATGGAAGAGGTCGTATTTGAGCTAGGTCTTGCAGGATGGGTAAGACTTGCAGAGACAGGGGGCCCACTACCTACTGAGAAGACAGTGCAGTTACAGTACAGAGGCACTTTATCATATTCCAGAGATACTGGACTTGCCTAGCGGCTAAGCAGCAAAGGGAGAACGGTGGAAGGGACTGAGGCAGTGGAGAAGGGTCAGGTCTAAGCAAAAGCCAAGAAGATGGGGCTACTGATCACAGATGACCAAGGCAAAGGGCCTGGTTTACAGGAAAAGAAGTCAAGCTGGGATGTGGTCTGAAGGGCCAAAGTTCTGGGTCTTTGGGGCCAAGACAAGGGTTAGAGGAGGAAAAGGGAGAGAGGAGCAAAGACCAAGGACAAGGTGTTGCAGAACAGGGAATTGTACAGGGGAGTTAGATAACTAACGGGATGGAGGACCAAAGGAGCCAGAGGGTTCCAGCAGATGGTCAGGAGCGAAGGGTCAAAAGCTGCCATCAGAGGTGTTAGAGCAACAGGAACCAAGGGGCTGGGTTGTGTGTTGCAGGGCAGGGAGAAGCCAGTGGCGGAGGCCAAGGGTACAGCGTTCTGGAGGACAAGAGCGGGTTCAGAGATGCCGGTGGGCTTGGGGCCGGAGTGGTGGGTGAGGAGGTGGGTTTGATCCCAAACATATGGTCATTGGCAGGAGGGCTGGAATACTCAAAAGCCAACAGAAGAGCCAGAGGGTAGGGGTGGGGACAGCAGCCCCGCCGCGCGGGCCGGGGGACCGGGACAGGGGTCGGGGCGGGGGGACCATAGGGCCCCTTTGCTTCCCAGTGGAGAGCAGAGCAACAGCCTCCAACTCCTCGGTGAAAGGGAAGGGGCCGTGCCCAGAGATCCCCCACGAAGTCGTGTCCGCCTCCCCCCACGACCTCAGGCCCAACCCGGACCCACCTCGCTCCCGCCGTTCGGTCAGGGACAGCGCCGCCTCTGTCGGCCGGGGAAGGAGCCGGAGCCGGAGCCGGAGCCGGAACCCGAGAGGGATCCGCCCTGCTTCTCCAGGATTGGCTTCTGGGACCCATTCTTTCTACCCATTGGCTATAGTAGCTGCCGCATCAAAAGAGACCCAGGCGGGTTCGCCAATAAACTATGGCCTTGTGCTTGGCATGCTGGGAGTTGTAGTCCTGGGTCGAAGCTCGAAGAAAACGTTCACGAAGTTTAGAATCTAGCTGTGGGAGACTAGGTTCCTTCATAAGGCTGTCTGATTTCCTTCTGTGTTCGGGCGCTCAGTCCTGCGAGGCCCCCGTCTGGAGTTTTGTGAAATTTGTGTAACTGACCTACATGAACTCTAAGGAGTCATGAGCTCAAATTTTCTTCAAGTTGGTGACTTTTGACCGTCCTGTAGACATCCAACGAAGCAGAACTTAGCACCTCACTCAATGTTTATAACTTAAAATAAAAGGAATGTAAACTGGAAGGGAGTTTAAATAAAAAGTATTTCAACACTTTTGTCGAAGTAGCTAAATGTCTCCTGTCTGAGGAGCAAACTCTATGTCTCACATTGTCCTTGAGCAAGGATTTTTCTAGAACACACGTGCGTCCCTAGTTAAACCTGACAGTTGTTCATCAATCCAGACACAGACCATGAAAGTATCCAGGATTTTTTTTTTTAGGTTTTATTTTATTTATTTATTTATGTATTTGAGTTGGAGTCTCTGTCACCCAGGCTGGAGTGCAGTGGCACACTCACGGCCACCCCAGCATTGACCTGCTGGGCTCTGGAATCCTTCCGCCTCAGCCTTCCAAGTAGCTGGAACTATAGGTGCACACTACCATGCCCGGCTAATTTTTTGATTTATTATAGAGATGAGGTCTCACCAAGTTGTCCAGACTGGTCTTGAATCCATGGGCTCAGGCAATTCACTTGCCTCAGCCTTCCAAACTGCTGGGATTACGGGCTGAGCCTGGCCGGGTTTTATTTTTTTAAATAATAAAGGTTAATTGAATACATAAACTAATCACAGCCTTTTTATATCTGTGTGGTATTTCGGTGCAAAGAACAAAGAGCATTCCCTGCAGAGCTAAGTAGGTATATGGGAGGGCACTCAAAACAATCTGGAATTTATTTACAAAAAATTGTGTATTTATTCTTACATGTTTAAAATTCAGTCACCTTCAAAGTAGTCTCCATTTAATGCGACACAGTTATTGAGACACTTTTTCCATTGCTCAAAATAGTTTTCGAACTTGTCAATTTTGATGTCTTTTTATGCTTCTTCCTTTTTTTTTTTTTTTTTTTGTTTCAACTCTTCAACATCAGCACACCGTTTACCTTTGAGGACTTTTTTCATCCAGGGAATAAAAAAAAATCAAAACATCACTCTGAGTAAGATTGGGTGAATAGGGAGGATGGGCCACCCTTTCCTAGTGGGGGAAGCCTATACTACAAAGGGCCCGTCCTCCAAAAAATAATTCCGGGTGTTTGGTTTTTTTTTGGATCTCCCTCATAACCCCAGCTCTACCACCTAGCCATTTGAAGTACCAATTCCTCTACTATAATTCTTGGGGTGGAGGGACCACAGGGCCCCTCTGCTCTCCAGTCAGCCCGAGAGAGCAGCAGTGTCCAATTCTTTGGTGAGAGGGAAGAAGTGGTGCTGGTAAGAAAAGTTATCTTATTATATGAGGCCAGGGTGGACAATGTGAGTTAGTTTTAAGATCGGGATATTTTGAAAAGTCTGTTTGGATCTGAGTAGGGTGAATGAAATATAAATACCTGGTGAACACTATTGTTTATAAACTGATAAAATAAAATACTAGAGGACAGACTCAGAAATAAAACTATTTTGAACTGTGGTTAAGGCCTGCTTGGGTGACTCAAAGCTCTTTGAAAATCATAGTATGTTTTTCTCTTACCAGCCCAAAGCCTTTCCTCACAATTTCTCATTCACAATGAAAATAACATCATACCAAACAACGAATACCAAACTTTTATTTTTAAAGTGTACAAAAGCAAACAAAAAATTCTACTCAGCCACTGTCATGATTAATTTTATGTATCAACTTGACTAGGCCACAAGATGCCTTGCTAGATGGTCAAACATTATTTGAGGTGTTTCTCTGAGGATGCTGCTGGATAAAATTACATTTAGGTCAGAAAACCAGATTGCCCTCTCTAATGTGAATGGGGTTCACCCAATCAGTTGAAGACCTAAATAGAACAAAAAAGCTGACCTTCCCCAAACTAAGAGAATGCTTCCTGTCTGCTAGCCTTTGCTGGTCTTTGGACATCAACTTTTTTCCTGCCTTCAGACTCACACTGAAACATCAGCTCTTCCTGGGTCTGAAGCCTGCTGTCTTCAGACTGGAACTACACCTTCAGCTCTGCTGGGCCTCCAGCTTGCTGACTTACCCTGCAGATCCTGGAACTTGCCAGCCTCTGTAATTATGTGAGCCATTTCTGTATAATAATCTCTGTCTCTCATATATACGTACACACACACACACACACACACACACACACACACACACACACACACACACACACATCCTATTGGTTCTGTTGCTCTGGAGAACCCTGACTAATACAGATACTAACAGACAGACTTCTAACAGAAAGATGGTTTCTGTCGGGCATAGCAATATACCCATCTGCAAACTGATAGCCAATAATATCTCCACAAATAGGTCAGATAACATTTGTGGTATGACTTGAGAGTGATTAGACTTCCTTCTGCAGTCCGCACCCAAAATTCTGGTTCATTATTTTATCCTCACACCTGATCTAACAACTTCTTATTTGAAATCAATAGTCTTTAACCTAAGAGCCAGCTACACAAATAGTCAAGTCTTCCAGTACAATGGTCTTGTAAGAAAAAAAGCTTCTACACTAATGGCTAAAACCACCACTTTTTCTAGCTGGGCCTCTCTGAATCTCAGGAAGATACTCAAGAGGGCCAGCCAATCAGCCCGACTCATCTGCTATCCTCTTTTTCAAGGCCACACACAATTGAGCTGTTTGCAGCTGTGTTTCCCAGCTCCCTGCTTGTGCTCCTGAGGCTTTTCGGGATTGTGGCCACTGTATTTTAAGTCCCTGGACCTGGTTGTCATCAATAGATAAGTTAGCTTTTGGAAACATTAGCTCCAGACTGGGCGTGGTGGCTCACACCTATAATCCCAGCACTTTGGGAGCTGAGGTGAGAGGACTGCCTGAATCTGTGGGTTCGAGACCAGCCAGGGCAAATTGGTGAGACTTCATCTCTACAATAAATCAAAAAATTATCCAGGTGTGGTGGCACATGCCTGTAGTTCCAGCTACTTGGAAGGCTGAGGCGGAAGGATGCCTGAGCCCAGCAGGTCAAAGCTGTGGTGGCCGGGAGTGTGCCACTGCTCTCTAGCCCGGGTGACAGAGTGATACTCCAACCCCCCCCCCCAAAAAAAAGAAAAGAAAAGAAAACATTTGCTCTGGCTGGGCTCAGTGGCTCAGCCTGTAATCCCAGCACTTTGGGAGGTTGAGGCAAGTGGATTGCCTGAGCCCGTGGGTTCAAGACCAGCCCAGGCAACCTGGCGAGACCTCGTCTCTACAATAAATTAAAAAATTAGCCAGGTGTGGTAGCACACACCTGTAGTTCCAGCTACTTGTAAGACTGAGGCGGAAGGATTGCCTTAGCCCAGCAGCTCGATGCTGGAGTAGCCATGAGCATGCCACTGCACTCCAGCCTGGGTGATGGAGTGAAAGTCCAACTCAAAAAAAAAAAAAAAGAAAGAAAACATTAGCTTTGGATGTCACCAAACTATGTTGTAAACAGCATAAAGAAAATAGAAAAGGATGGCATATTTTACTCCTCTGTCTCTCTCCACCTCCAACGACCCATTTCTGAAGAAAGAAGGATGTGTGATACAAAACATGTTTACTTTTAGAAAGCTGATTCTGGGATCCAGAGGTCTAAACTGAGAGAAAGACAGAAAAGTAGTTCTTGATGGGATAAGTAAGAAGTCAGGAGCTGGGGCCATAACTTCTTGACTAAAAGCCAGAGGATGGGATGAGGCGGAGAGAAGTTCTTCTAAAGATTCCCCTGGAGAACCCTTTCCCCTGACCTTGTGCTGTATCATGGACACACATTCAACATCTCCACCTAAACCCAAACCAGTTGTTTGGGTTTCAGGAGTTCCCCCTTCAGGTCAATGGGAACTTCAAGTCCCTAGAAGAAAAGCAAGTCCCGGGGGAAAGTGGTACAAATGGAATCCACAAAAGCATCTGGATTTGGGTTAAGGAGAAGAGACACTCCAGAATCAGGAGTATTGGGCCAGGAGACTGAAATACAGGGTGCTGGGCTGGATGGCCATGGGAGCAGGTAATGAGGTACATCCCTAAAAAGAAGGAACCTTAAGCCCCTGAAGGGCTGGGCCAAGGTCAGAAGGCAAAGGCAGGATCAGATCCATCAGCTCTGGGACCTGAGGAGTTAGTAAGGAAGGGTTCGTCTTCAGGGACACATCCCCATTAGCATGGCGTTTTCCCTCTGCCTTGGAGACAATTGACTCCTCTGATTTGTGCAGTTCTGAACAAATGACTAGAGGTGCTGTGTTTTTCCCGCCATCATGAAGACAAGGTTCAAAGAATGGGCGAAGGGGTCCAGAGAAACTGTGGGTGAAAGTAAATATGTGGGATTTGCTGCTCACGTTGTAGAAAGAGATGACTCCTGCTTCATAGTCCAGGAAAATCCCCACACACCGTGGAGGCTCTTTAAGGCGGAAAGAGGTCTGTGGAGATGTGAGAGCTTCATACTCATTCTCTCGACTCTGTCGCACAAGCCAATGTCCGTTGGCAGGTGAAGCGGTGATCTTTCCCTTCCTGCTCACTGACTCACTACACACTCCAAGGATCCACTTGGTCTTGTCTCCTACATACACCTCCCAGTAGTGACAGCCATTCAGGAAATACTCAGAGCCCAGGACGCTGACGACAAAATCAAATCTCTGGGGGTTGTCAGGTACAGGCTGCCTTTTGTCGCCCAGCCTCACACATCTCCGGTCTTCAGACAGGATGAGTTTGGGGTGTGCTGTGTTCAGGTCCAGGGTTACTGCCACTGCAGAGAGTCACAGAGAAATGAGGTCTTGGAGGGCTAGATCTTAAAGAATCTTTGAGTAGTTTGGAGGGAAAAATAATCTTTAGGTCTTCTATCATTGTCATTGGTCATTTTAGTTCATGTGTTCCTCTATCCCACCCCATCCCACCCCCAACCCACCACTTGTGTGCTGGAATCAAAGGATACTGTTTTTCAAAGAATAGTTCTCCTGGTAGAATACTAAATAAAAGAAACAGTTCTGCTTCTTCTGTCTGCGAAGCTGCCTTAGTCGTTAGGAAACAACTACCTGCTATGGTTTGGGTGTGCCCCTCAAAAGTTCATGTGTTGGAACCTTAATTCCATAGTGCAGCAGTGTTCAGAGGTGGGGTCTAGTGGGATGTGTCTTGGAGGCCCCACCCTCACAAAGGAATTAATGCAGTTCTCACAGACAGGGTTCATCTCTGGAAAGTGGGTTGTGATAAAGCCAGTTGGGTTGCTTTATCTTCTTCCTCTTTTCACAAGGACTCACTTGCCCTTCTACTTTTCTGCTCTGCTATGAACAGCACAAGGCCCTCACCAGATACAGCTGCTGGATCTTGGACCTCCCAGCCTCCAGAACTATGAGCTAAATAAACCTCTTACCTTTATGAATTACTCAGTCTCAGGTATTCTGTTGTAGTAACAGAAAACAAACTAAGATACTACCTTTGTTTCTGTCTAATGTATGATAATAAACATAGATTTTGATGTTATATCCTATGGCCACATAGGATATTTGAATCCCAGTTCTGCCACATGCTAGTTTATGTGAACTTAGGTTTGTTATTCATCCTCAAAGCTTAGTTTCCTCATCTTTACAGTGGGAATAATAACAGACCCTACGTTTTACAGTTACTATACAGACTTGATAAACTAATGCATGAGATAGTGCCTTGTTCCTACAGTGAGTGTGTGATGTTCAATGACCTAAAGTCATTGCTTTCCCATTTTAATCATCATTTTAAATGCTAATATAGAGAGAAGGATTCTTCCTTAAATTGTGATTATGAGTGTCACAGTGCATCTCCATCCTCCCTCAAATATGGAAAACAGGCTCTTCTTGGAGAGTTAAATCCATAAAACCATATTTGGTTGACGTGGTAGCAATCAGCCAGACTGTGAATGTGAGACGCAAGGGTTTGTGAGTTCTCAGAATACCAACCAAGGTGACCTGATGTTTTCCCAAGTGGCCAACTCATCAATTCTATTGTACTCTGCCCGAAGAAAGATGGTTGTGAACAGGAGGGAAATGAAGAGCCTGAAAACTTGATAAGGATCCTAAAGCAGTGAAAACAACAGATCCTGTTCAAGCAGCAGCAAAAATGCAAACTACATAGGAATAAATCAAAAGAGACATGTTCAAATCTTTTAGACTGAAACTATGAAATCTTTTTGTAGTCTATATCATTGGGGCATCTGCCCAACACATTCCCTTCTTCTCAGAAAGTCTCAATCACCACGCCCCCAAGAAAACTGGTCTGCAGACAAGGAAAACAGCAGCATATGTGTAGAAAGAGGCAGAAGCAGTGACTATTTACAGGAATGTGGGATAGAAAAGATTTCCCAAACCTGAATGTTTGAGAAATGAGACTACACAGGATAAGATTAATGAATTTGACTACATAAAAATAAAACACTCATGCACTGGAAAAATACTATAAAGAAATTAAAATGCAACTGAAAAATAATTGGTGACAAATATGACAAAGAACAAATATGCGTTATCTGGAAAGAATCCTCACAAATCAAAAAGTAGCCCAGGCTGGGCTTGGTGGCTCAGCCCATAATCCCAGTGCTTTGGGAGGTCAAGGCGAGTGGATTGCCTGAGCCCTCAGGTTCAAGACCAGCCCGGGCAACTTAGCAAGACCTCGTTTCTACAATAAATCAAAAATTAGCAGGATGTGGTAGTGTGCACCTGTAATTCTGGCTACTTGGAAGGCTGAGGCGGCAGGATCACCAGAGCCCAGCAGGTCGACACTGGGGTGGCCGTGAGTGGGCCACTGCATTCCAGCCTGGGTGATGGAGTGAGAACCCAACTCAAAAAAAAAAAAAAGTAACACAAATAGGACAGGAACAGATAAATCACAAATAAGAAATACAAATAATTGATTAGCTTCAGAATAAATCTCAAAAATCATAGAAAACCAATATGAAAATCAAACCTAATCTTTATCAGTGCTCTAAAAAAAGAGTGACAAGCCAGGTTTGGTGGTTCAGCCTGTAATCCCATGCTTTGGGAGGCCGAGGTGAGTGAATTGCCTGAGCCCAAGGGTTCAAGACGCCCCTGGGCAACTTGGCGAGACCTCATCTCTACAATAAATAAAAAATCAGCCAGGCATGGTATTGCGCGCCTGTAGTTCCAGTTACTTGGAAGGCTGAGGCGGAAAGATCGTCGGAGCCCAGCAAGTCAAGGCTGCGGTGGCCGGGAGTGGCCACTGCACTCCAGCCTGGACGACAGAGACTCCAACTCAAAAAAATAAAAATAAAAATAAAAAAGAAGAGACTTAGGCCGGGCACAGTGGCTCATGCCTATAATCCCAGCACTTTGGAAAGCCGAGGTGAGAGGATCGCCTTAGCACACGGGTTCAAGACCAGCCTGGGCAACTTGGCGAGACCTCATCTCTACAATAAATCAAAAAATTAGCCAGGCATGGTGACACGTGCCTGTAGTTCCAGTTACTTGGAAGGCTGAGGCTTGGAAGGATTTCCTAAGCCCGGCAAGTTGGGGCTGCGGTGGCCGTAAGCGTGCCTCTGTATTCCAGCCTGAGCAGCAGAGTGAGACTCTGACTCAAAGACAAAAAAAAAAAGGAGAGACTTTCTAACTCTAAATGTGACCAAAAAAGGTTTTTCAAAAATTTGACAAACAGATTTGATTAAAAAATTTTAAATTACAGCCTCCATTCGAAAGGAATGGAGCAAAATCTAAGGTTACAAGCCCTTTAGGAAGATGAGCTCTGAAATATGGGTCTACTTGATTGATGTAACTTACCAAAATGCAGCCGGGCTCTTCTCCACACTGAAAGATGTAAAAGGGAATTATTAAAGCATGGAGACATGGAGAACTCCCATAGGGTGGGGGACAAACATGAAGGAAGTGTGTCTTACCTGAGTTTGCTGCAGCTCTTTTCAACTCTGTGAAAGAAGAAACGAGGGGGAAGAGCTATCACTAAAAATATTAGGACAACAGGAGACAAGTTGATATGGAAGTTGTAAGAACATGGGACACTTACTCAGTTCACTCCGAAGTTTCTCTAAAAAATGAAAACAATTTGGCAAAAGAGAATGAGACCTCTACATTCTCGTGACACCACAGTCCCATCCCAACCACCTTCCATGAGCAGATCCTCAAGAGCCATACCCTGGAACTTTCCCATAAGTGTGTTTGCAATGGCAATAGCCCTCACTGTGGGATACCCCAGAGAGGGTTAGAGGGTCTGCAGAGGGTCAGCAGATTTCTATGTGAGCCAAACCTCACCTGCAGACCAAATAAACACTACATCTCACACCTATAGGTAATGAGTATACATGTATGGAGTAAAATATAAGCTCATTTAAAACTATTCTACCGGGCACGGTGGCTCACGCCTATATTCCCAGCATTTTGGGAGGCTGAGGTGAGAGGATTGCCTGAGCCCATGGGTTTGAGACCAGCCTGGGCAGCATGGCAAGACCTCATCTCTACAATAAATCAAGAAAAATTAGCAGGGCATGATGGTGCGTGCCTGTAGTGCCAGCTACTTGGTAGACTGAGACGGAAGGATCATCTGAGCCCAGCAGGTCGACCCTGGGGTGGCCGTGAGTGTGCCACTGCACTCCAGCCTGGGTGAAAGAGTGAAATTTACTAAAAAAAGAAGAGGTTCTCACACATTAAATGGCGGAGAAGCCGTGCTGCAGCATATTCAGTTTAATGTGGATCCAACCCTCTTGCTCCCTGCTTTGGATCCCTAGGTGATAAAAGGGACTTCCTTCCTGATGGCCTTGCCTGTGGGAGGTACATCTCTTCTTGGTGAAACATTTCCCATTTAGAGATTCAATAACAGTTGCACAGGAAAGAGAAAGCAAGGAATACCTGAGAAAAAAGGTTTTTGAGAGCCCCAAGATCCCCAATCCCTATGGCTTGAACTTCCCTTGCCCCCTCCCTTCTGTCGCAGGAAGTGAAACTGAGGCATTCATCCAGAAGACATTCATCCTGAAGCCAAGCCAATCATTGTGCCACGAATGAGGAGCAAAACTTACTGAGGGCTTTATGGAGTCTTCCTAAAAACAAGAAAGAGAGGAGTGAGTGACCAGATCCTGCCCCTTTATTCCCCTGACCAGATTCTGAGGGAAGGGCTCATCACTCCCCCCTTCAGGATGAAAGGATGGTGACATTTTTATCAGTCCCCAATCCAGTCCCACGTCCCAGAGGTTAGACTCAGGATTCCGACAGTGCCAGTGCCACTTTCTTGATGACCCAGCCTGCCCAGGACTTTGGTTCCTCCTTCCCTTTCCCCTCCTTTTTGTCTGTCTGGTTTCACTTCTGCTGTCTGGGTGAGTATTTCCATATGTCTGTAACTACCATACATAAGTATGCTTTGCTGTCCTTTTATAGCCTACTGTTTATGATAGCTACGGTGTAAAACTACTAAAGGCCTAGCATGAACTTGATAGAGCTTTATTATTCTCTATAGTAACTCCCCTGAAGTTACAAATTTCACACATTTGGAGGTCCCAGGAGGTTTGGGGACATATGTGTATGCTCCATATGCTTCAGGGGTGTACTTGTGGGTTCTCTGGTGTGAGTCCACCACCAACCCTGTGCTAAGGGCTGGCTTGTGTTAGGCATTAGGTATTAGAGCAAGGAAGCTGAGAATGACATGGCTCCTGAGAAATCTGGCTTATTGATACCATTTTCACTACCAATGATTTCCATTTACTGTGTCCTGTTGTTATATACTGAGGTAGACACTGAATCTTCTCAACAGTGGGAGGTGCATAGAATTGTCATTCCTGTTTTATAGGGGAGTGGTCTGGGGCTCAAGGGGACATGGCATTTGCCCAATGTCATGTAGCTAGAATGTGACCAAGGAGGCAAGATCCAACCCAAGTCTGGCTCCTGAGTCAAGGCCCTCGCCATTACACCACACTGTGTCTGCTGCTCTTGGGCAGAACAGCCAGTGTCTGCAGTGTACCACCCACACTTGCACCAGCTCGGAGGAGATGTAGAGGGCATGAGACGAGATGCCAAAGCTATTGATTTGGAGCCATCTGAGCCAGTGACTTGTCTTCCCAGCTAGATTTCAACAAAGTGTCTAGTGTGACCCTTAGTGGCCCACAGTAAACATTCAATTAATGAAGCTGAAATGGCAATAAGGGACAGGAGTTCCAGGCATTGACAGATTTTTTTTTTCTTTCCGGATTTGTTTGTTTATTATTTTAGAAAATTTTTATTTTTAATTTTTTTTTGAGTCAGGGTCTTCCTTTGTCAACCACGCTGGATTACAGTGGCACAGTCATCGCTACTAGAACTTAGAACTCTTTGATTTAAGCAATCCTTCCACTTCAGCCTCCTGAGTAGCTAGGACTACAGACTTGTGCCACCACACCTGGCTAATTTTTTATTTTCATTTTTGTAGAGACAATGCCTCGTTATGTTGCCCAGGTTGGTCTCCAACTCCTGGGCTCAAGCAGTCCTCCCACTTTAGCCTCTCGAAGTGCTGGGATTTATAGGCGTGAGCCACCATACCCAACCACTGTGATAGGTTTTTGTTTTTTTTTTAGATTGTCTCTTTTAAAAACAATCAGGAAAGGGGACTTATTATCCTCAATTTACAGATAAGGAAACCAAAGCTCAGAGAAGTAAAGTAACTTGAATTCAAAGCCAGTAAATGGCAGATCACTGATCTGAGTGAGGTGTTGCTGACTCCAGAGCCTGCACCCCTGCCACTGTTTCACACCACTTCTCTTGATGCAAAGGTTGTGTGGATTCTTGAGATTCCAACACCTCCCATATGACTACATTGGTAAACTTTTAAATAATATGTAGACCTCCTTTCTAAATGATTGCTAAAGAGGCTGATGCAGGGAGCTCAGACCTTTGAATTTTGACCACGAATATCTCCTCACCCACTGCCATCAACTCCATAGCCTCTTGAATTGAAAATCAAGTTTCAATGATATCTATGGAGGAGACACACACACACACACACACACACACACACACACACACACACACACACACACCACTGCATTATAATAGACTGTCAAGATTTATGTAGGGGAAGAAATAATATATTATTTGTTCCCTACCCTTTAGTCTTTCCCTATCATTACCTTTTTCTTTTGCATGGTCTGAGAGAAGATTTTCTAAAGGAAGAAAAAGAAAAGATAATGAGATTCTTTGCTATTGCCCTCAGCATCCCTTATTCTTATTGATTTTACCGGCCCTTGGACCTGTCCATTTTTGTGTCTTCACCTCTACCTCTCTGGCCTAGTCCCTAATCAACCCTCATTTGGACAACAGAAATGGCAGCCCAAACTGTCCCCCTCATCCTGCCCTATTTCCTCTGGTCTCTTCTCAGCCGCAGCCAGAGAAAGCACAATTCTGACCGGATATCCCCATGCATTGCCCATTGTTCTTAGGCGCGTGATTAAAACCCTTCACATGACCCACAGGGCTTCACTCGACCCCGCCCTGCCGACCTCCCCTTGTGCTTCCCACCTCTCCCATCCCTTCTGTGCCTTTTCAGCTCCTCGTGAGTGCTGTTCCCTCCAACCATGCTTCTTTCTCAGGATGTTCTTTCTGCAGTAGAGGGTTTCCCATCCCTCTTCACTCATGAATTCGGGACGTTCACACCATATCCTCCACCCTCAGGCTTGATTGGTTCCTCCTGGCCATAGCCTTCACAGAACTGGGGGCTTTCTTCTATGTCATCGGTACACATTTGTTTGTGTCATTATTCAACTCACACAATCTCTCTGACTAGAATGAAAATTCCAGGAGGGCAAAGACTATGTTTCTGCTTTTACTCACCATTGTGTTCTCAGAATCTAGTATAGTCCAGGGCATTTAGTAGATAATTATCAATTATGTATTGAATGCATAAAAGCATCCCCCATGTTCAACCTACATGACTTCCACATAATAAGATCAAGCAATAAGCTTACAGACAAAAATCACCAAACATACTAGAAGGCAAACTGTTACAAGTAAGAGTCTGGAAAAATCAGAAGCAATAAACTTAGACACCATTACTACCACCACCACAGAAGACAGCAGATGATAGAATTTTGGGGTATAAAATCTAGATTAGTGGACATTAGAGAAACAGAAATTAACAAAGATACATCCGCTCCACCCCCATCCCCAGACACTTACCTACTTCCATCACCTGTTCATAGAGAAGTTTCTCTAAAAGAGAGAGAGAGATGTCAGCTCAGCTTAGGAAGGGCTTTTTTTTTTTTTGCATTGGACTCTCACTTTGTCACCCAGGCTGGAATGCAGTAGCACAATTATGACTCACTGCAGTCTCTCCCTCCTGGACTCAGGTGATCCTTCTACCTCTGCCTCTCAAGTAGCTGGGACTACGGGCACATGCCACCACACTCGGCTAATATTTTGGTTTTTTGTTGAGACAAAGTCTTGCTATGTTGCCCAGGCTGGTCTCAAACTCCCAGCTTAAGCAATCCTCCTGCCTCAGCCTCCCAAAGTGCTGGGATTACAGATGTGAGCCACCATGCCCCACTTAGAAAGGACTCTTTCTAATAGGCATAGTTGTCCAAAGATGGTCGAGTTGCCTGAGTAGTACTGACTCCTTGTCACTACAGGCGTGTGGTCATTTGAAAGTATTAGAGGGTCTTCAAACCACCAGATGGGGAAAGAGTGTCAAACTGTGTAACCTTCAAAGTCCTTTGCAACCTCAAATCCTGTGAAATTTGACCATTTTAATAAGGGTTTTATCCAATTGATACAATTGGATTTCTTGATTAAAAGGCTCTAATTAATTTCTTAGTTAATTAGAAAGCTGGGCCGGGCTCAGTAGCTCAACCTGTAATCCCGCACTTTGGGAGGCTGAGGTGAGTGGATTGCCTGAGCCCGCGGGTTCGAGACCAGCCTGGGCAACTTGGTGAGACCTCATCTCTACAGTAAATCAAAAAAATTAGCCAGGTGTGGTAGCACAGGCCTGTAGTTCCAGTTACTTGGAAGGCTGAGCGGAAGGATCGCCGAAGCCCAGCAGGTCGAGGCTGCAGTGGCCGGGAGTGGCCACTGCACTCCAGTCTGGGTGACAGAGTGAGACTCCAACTCAAAAAAAATTAGAAAACTGGCATGGTCGATTATTTTCTAATTTCTCAAAGGATGAGATTTCACAGCTCTACCCAGGGGCCTTTTTGCAGTTTACTGAATTCTCTCTGCAGTGTGAATTCCCAGGACACGACAGTACTGATTTTCTCCCAGCCACCTTGCAAGGTCTCCAACCTATGGACAGCGTCACATCTACACCTACTTCCACCTGGCTTTTTCCCAGAGCAGTCCACAGTCCCACTTTCCGCCAGCCTGGGCTTCCTTACCAACTTTTTACCTTTTGATTTTCTTTGCTTCCAGATGAGGCAAATGAGCACCATGTTGAGAAGCCCCAGGATAGGCAGGATCACAGCAAGAGCCACTGCTGAGGAGGAGATGCTCCCGGAAGATGGGGCTAAAACAGAAACCACCAACAACCAGCCTCAGGGAGACGTCTAAGAGTTTCTGCCATGCCTCAGATGGCAGATGGCTCGGGGACATTCCAACTGTTTCCAGCATCTCTAGGGAAAGACCTCAGCCAAGATTGGTGAAGCTCTTTGCGTCTCTTGGTAATGCAAACCCTGGATGACATGAAAGATAGGTAAGATGTTCATCTCTCAGGAGTGGTTTAGAGGGTCCTGCCTGAAGTGGTTTAAACAAGCTTTGTGACCACAATCTCATCCTGCCCTGCAACTCAATGGAAAAATAAATCCGGACTTCAGAGAACTAGAGGGGCTCTTCTCACTCAGCACCTGTAGTCTTCCCAGGAGCATCTGCCTGCCTCCTGCCACTTCAAACCTTCACTCTGCCCTGGAATGGCAGTCAGCAACCTCTGTGTACCGTCAGCAGGGACAAAACAATTTCTGTGGTGCTACAGCAGAGGCCTAAGGCGTAGGCAGGAGAGAAAGGAGAAAAGAAAGGAGAAATAGAGAAGGAAAAACAAGTAGAGGAGGCCCAAGAGCAGAAGTGGTTAAGAGCCCAAGCTGGGTGTGTGTCTTTACCAACACTATGTGCCCCTAGACAGGAGACTGGGCCCCTCCAAGCCTGATTTTCCTCATCTGTAAAACGAGAGTGACAAGAGTCCCTATCTCCTAGGGTGTTGGAGAGATTTAAAGAGATCAGTCATGTAAAACACTTAGCACTTAGTGAGGGGCAGCGGAGGGGTAGGAGAAGCTAGGAGGGGTGCAGGGAGGGAAGACAAGGAAGGGACTAGCAGAGGCTCAGGACTTCTCCCTCCCTCCCAGCCCCAGGCCAGTCTATCTTTCCTGCTCTAAAACCACCCTTCTCTGTCCCTTGACTCATAGTCTTTAAAAGGTTCATAGCCTTTGATCCATTGATTCTACTCCAGAAACACATTCTAAAAAAATCATTAGAATCACTTCCCAAAATAAAAGATGTTCATTTAACCATTAGTTATGATGGAAAACATTCAGATGTCCAGAAATAGGCCTTTGATTAATTTTATTGTTCAATAGCCATGGTGAAATACTTTGCAGCCCTTAAAATCATGTTACTTATGGGCATGGGCAAAAACAAAAAAATACTTATGACATTTTAAGTGGGGAAAAAACCCAGGCACTAGAATACATATGCGTAAACATACGCACTCAGAAATACATACATACAAGAAAGTTTTTAAAGAAATATACCAAAATGTTAGCAGTGGCTCTTTCCAAATTATGAAATTATAGACTGTTTTTTCCTTTAAAATATACTGTATTTTTTTTTCAAAATGTCAACATGCTTTATTCTTAAAATTTAAAAAATTTTAAAATTCTTCATAAACTTTTCACTAGGATAGGAGTTTCCTCTGGAGCCACAAGAGCTTCAAGCCTGTTTCCTATCCCAGTTTTACCTGCTATGACCATGGCTGTGGTCTTCTCTTGGCCAAGGGCCACGTTGCGGATGGTACAGGACACATTCCCCAGTGTGCTGTCCCTGACTCTGCTGGACACCGCTGTTTGGAAGAGTCCAGCTTTGTCTGGAGAGTGGGCCTCTGACAGGGATGGAAGCACCCTCCCTTGAGGGTCTCTCCACTCGGCCCAAGGCTCTGGGAACCATCCCACGGACCTGCACACCAGCTGGAGCCATCCGGCGTCGTAGCCCTTCAAGTGGATGTAAGGGTCAGAGCCTAGAACTGTAGAGGAGAGATTGCCTGGGTGAATCAGCCCAGAAACAGACTGGCAGAGCCTCATCAAGGACATGGTCCTGGCCAGAGCCCTGTTCCTCCCACAGCCTTCTCTGATGAGCAGGGGCAGCTGTTATGGAACTTGAATGTCTGTCCTCTCTCCGCCCTCCCCATGCTCCTCCCAATGGGATAAGGCAGTCCCTAGCTTTACCCCCAGACATTTCAAAACACATCCTTAGCAGGAACTACACCACATGATTCAGATTCCTCTGGGCACCTCAGTCCCCTTTTAAAAACTACTTTTCAGCCCAAAGGACTCTTGTTTGGAAAGTCTATCTCCCACCAACTGCATGTTTAAAAGTAATTGATTCACCCCCTCCTTGTGGTGTGTAACTCTAAGTTATGACCAAAAGATAATCAGTGTGTGACCATGTGGAGTAATACCATTCAAACAAATGCAAACACATGGCTGTGGTTTGGTTTGGTTTTCTTTTTTCTTTTCTTTTCTTTTTTTTTTTTTGAGTTGGACTCTCACTCTGTCACCCAGGCTGGAGTGCAGTGGCATGCTCATGGCCACCTCAGCCTCAACCTGCTGGACTCATGTGATCCTTCTGCCTCAGCCTTCCAAGTAGCTGGAACCATATACCCAGCAAATTTTTTGATTTTTTTGTAGAGACAAGATCTCACTATGTTGCCCAAGCTGGTTCAGGCAATCCTCTCTCCTCCACCTCCCAAAGTGCTGGAATTACAGGCGTGAGCCACCGCGCCTGGCTGGTTGGGTTTTCGGTAGACTGACTTAAAATATTGAAGCTAGTTTGAGAAACACTCTCTCTACCTTCCTGGACCTTTAAATACCCGTGAGAGGATCCATTAAGTAGATCCTTGTCACAGCTGGGGATCTAGTTCTTGAGAATGTTTCCTTGCAGCCATGGTTATGAGTTACATGATAATGGCCCAGAAAAAGATGATGAGAGGCAAAGCCGTAATCTGAGCCACTAAGCCCTACAGGCGACTGGTAGTATTTAACCAGGACCTGAAGTGTACAGTGGTTTCCAAAGACTGGGTCGCTTCCTCAGCAGAAACATCTGGGCCAGAGTCACAGCCTCGAGGGGGATGGATGGACCCGGCTGAGCAAGAAAAAACTGCATTGCCGATGAAAGAAATGTCTGCCTACCGAGGGACAAAGCAGACCCTGTCTAAGCCCATTCAGTTGCCACACATGACGCTGGGCACCTCCCACCCATCCTAACCTGCGACCTGCAGGATCGCGGTGGCCTCTCGACTCAGGTTTCCGACCTGGATCAGACATCGGTACGGCCCTCGGTCCTCCAGGCGCACGTCGCGGATCTGCAGAGCGACGCTGCCCTCTCGGGCGTCCATCACCAGCGCCGTTCTCCCCTTGTATTCCGGCATCAGACCTTCATCCCGGTCCTTCCCATCCCGGAACACGTGAACAGCCCGGGAGCGCTGCGGGTGTGGCGACCGCAGCCACCTCACCTCTTTGGCCACGGTCTCCGGCCACAGGGAAAGAGGGCAGAGCAGCTCGGCTGTGCCCCCTAGCGGGGCCACATGGAACTTGCTGAAATCCCCTTTGCAGTGAAGACAAAAAAGAGAAAAGGTGATCCGGGAGCCAGGGATTTGGGAGAGAGAACTTGGGGGCGAAAGCGGGGAAGGGGATATTTTGGGGGAAGGACAGAGCTTGGGAAGGACACTGGAAAAGACTGGGGGAAGTACAGAACCCCAAAAGAAATAGTGTCTCTGCCCAAGCCTCCTCATTCTGGGGATGCCATAGTCACATGTCCCAGGCAGGGGGAGAGGTTCAGAAACTCCTACCTGACACGGGTGCAGGCGGCTGGAGAAAGATGAGAGTGATGAGACAGCTGGAGAGCCAGGAGCCAGTGGATCTTGCCATCTCCATTGGATCTAGGGCGACAGACAGAGGGAGACACCAGGAGAGAGTTGATGAGCTTGGTGTGAAAGAGGGTGTAACCTGGGAGCCCAGGTTGAGGCTGCATGGCTGTGTCCTGGAATCACACAGACCAGGGTTCCAACCCCAGCTCTGCTACTTGCCTTCTTCTTGTGACATTGTGACTGAACTTCTCTGAGACTCTGTTTTTCCATCTTTAAAGTGGGCATAATAACTGTACCTCCTTGTGGGATTACTGTGAAGTTTGAAGGAGGTTAAGTGTTCACACGGAGGCTGGCATCTTTAAGTCTATAAATGCCGTGAATGAGGATAATGGCAGGGATGAGATGAGTGAGGACCCCAGGGTGAGACCCTAGTGTAATTTGGAAGGTATAAGAAGGAGTCTGAAAGAAGGAGAATTTATACCCAGAATGACCCAAGTAAACACCAGTCATAACTAATGATCTCTTTGTATATTTGGTGTCCAGTGCCAGACTTGGAGCACCAGTTGCAATCCAATCTGTAGCCATGAGTTCTTCCCTGACAGCCTTTCAAGTGTAACTCTTGACAAGTAATAAACCAAGGTAGTGAGGTCCCTCCATGCCATCCTGAAGGGACTAATCCTACAAACTCAGGGTCTGGACTTAGAAAGTCCTGGGTTCAAGTCTTAGCTCTGCCTATCTACTAGTTCTGTGTCCCTAGGAAAGTCTCATAACATCTCTGGGAGCATAAGATAACATGCCTCAGGTTCCTGATCTATAAAAGAGGAACTTTCGGCCAGGCTCGGTGGCTCAGCCTGTAATCCCAGCACTTTGGGAGGCCAAGTGGATTGCCAGAGCCCGCAGGTTCGAGACCCACCCGGGCAACTTGGTGAGACCTCATCTCTACAATAAATCACACACAAAAAAAATTAGCCGGGCATGGTAGCGTACGCCTGTAGTTCTGGCTACTTGGAAGGCTGAGGTGGAAGGATCGAGGAAGCCCAGCAGGTTGAGGCTGCAGTGATCGGGAGAGTGCCACTGTACTCCAATCTGGGCGACAGAGTGAGACTCCAACTCCAAAAAAAAAGAGGAAATTTCTTCAAAGGTGAGTGTGAGGGTTCAGGAAATAATGCATGTAAAACACTGGCCACAAATGCCAGCACTTATTGAGAACAAGTGTTCAATAAATGTGTAGTTGCTGTTATTGCTACTAAACTAAAAGAGGACAGTTATCCCTGGGAGGTGTAGATCTGTGCATTAACCACAGGGAGACACTAAAGGATTTTCTGTTGTAAAACTCTTTCCTCCCCTACTTGCTCCACTTGAAGCTTCTTTAGCAGGAAACAGAATCTCTTATGCCACATGTGAGGACAAAGTTTAAAATGTGAACAGTCTAGGAAGTGTTCAAATTCTTTCCAAATAGGGAGTTTTTGCAGAAATCAGCAGGCTCCATCTCTGAAGGACATGGAACAGGACAAAATGGTACATGAAGAAGATATCAAAGGGAGGTTGGGAAACTGAAGATGAACTTGAGTATTGAACACATTCTTTTTTTTTTTTTGAGTTGGAGTCTCACTCTTGTCACCCAGGCTGGAGTGCAGTGGCAACCTCACTGCCACCGCAGCCTCTATCTGCTGGGCTCAGGCAATCCTTCCGCCTCAGCCTCCCAAGCAGCTGGGAACTATAGGGGTGTACCACCATGCCCAGCTAAATTCTTTCTTTCTTTCTTTCTTTCTTTCTTTCTTTCTTTCTTTCTTTCTTTTTCTTCCTTCCTTCCTTCCTTTCTTTTTTTTGAGTTGAAGTCTCACTCTGTTGCCTAGGCTGGAGGGCAGTGGCATGCTCATGGCCATCACAGCCTTGACCTGCTGGGCTCAGGCGATTCTTCTGCCTCAGCCTTCCAAGTAGCTTGAACTACAGACACACGCCACCACACCCGGCTAGTTTGTGTGATTTATTATAGAGACGAGGTCTCATCAAGTTGCCCAGGCTGGTCTCGAACTCCCAGGCTCAGGTAATCCTCTCACCTTGGCCTCCCAAAGTGCTGGGATTACAGACTGAGCCACTGCACCCGGCCTGAACACATTCTTACTGATTTATTGATTGTCTCTACAATAAATCAAAATTCAGCCGAGCATGGTAGCGCACACCTGTAGTTCCGGCTACTTGGAAGGCGGGGGCAGAAGGACTGCCGGAGCCCAGGAGGTTGACACTGGGGTGGCTGTGATCACGCATGCCACTGCACTCCAGCCTGGAGGACGCAGTGAGACTCCAACTCAAAAAAAAAAAAAAAAAAAAGACTACAGATATATTTTGTCTTCCTTCAAGCTGTCAAAGATTAGAAAATTAACAATACTCAGAGTTATCATACATGTGGGCTAACTGACGCTCTTGCTCATTGCTAACCAACTTTCAAAGGATAATTATGTAGCAAGCATGAAATGATTTACAAATATGCAAAAGGTATAATTCAGTAATTTTATTTCCAGAAAATAATCCAGAGGAAATAAATAAGGATGTGCATAAAGATTTGGTGGTGAGGACACTCATCACAAAGTTTTTTGTTTTTTGTTTTTGAGTTGGAGTTACTCTGTTGCCCAGGCTGGAGTGCAGTGGCACACTCACGGCCACCGCAGCCTTGACCTGCTGGGTTCACCTGAGCCTTCCATGTAGCTGGAACCACAGGCATGTGCCACCATGCCCGGCTGATTCTTTGATTTATTGTAGAGACGATGTCTTGCCATGTTGCTATGGTGGATCTGGAACCCCTGGGCTCAGGTAATCCTCTAGTCTCCACCTCCCAAGGTGTTGGGATTACAGGATAAGCCACCACGCCCACTCAGTAATTTTTTTTTTTAAACCATGTATTTATAATATGATATAATTTGAGGAGAAAATGCTTAGAAAAGAGGCAAGAATGTAGATATCAAACAGTGGCTACTGCCGGGGATGGGGATAGGGATTATAAGTGATCTAATGGTTTTCTTTGTGTCTTTTCCTTTATATTTTTCAAATTTTCTACCTCAAACAGATATATCACTTAAGTTATCAGAAAACATATATATATATATATATTTTTTTTTTTTTTTTT